AAAAATATAATTGAGAACTGAATGATGGACTATAAAACTTACATTTGTCATCTGAGTGTTGTTTGACATTTTACTCAACATGATGTTTTTAGGAAACAGTGCCTGCATGAAAGAATCATCATAAATGCAAGAAGTGTCATTGATTTTGTGTGCTTTAACACAGCAATGCATGACAAAACAGATCTTACTCGTCAAAAAGTTGATTGATGTCTATCTTCCCAACTTCCGCAGTAACTTTTAGAATCTCAACCACTTGGGGCTGTGCCACCCTGTTATATATCACAACAAAGAAAACAACTTCCAGTCAACATGAAAACTAATATGCTTGATATTAACATATAAACTTCTTCATCTTAACTTTGATAGACGCAAAAAAAACAGATTAATAAAACATTGTTTACAGTACCTTACTATAAAATAGCAGCTAGACTGTAAGATTTTTTTTAATCAAATATATTATTTAATTATTTCAAAGGGAAAGAAACAGTTTGAAAGAAGCAATGTGTTAAACATGAGGTCATACACTTTGGACAGAAGGTGAGCGAGGAACCCCAAGGGATCGCTGTAGATTGGTGGAGCTCCTGGAAGGTAGCGTGACTCCACATATCTGCATTAAACAAAACCAATGAACAATGTTTTAGTTATCTATTATTTCAAAAAGATCCTGAGAAGATTATCTGCATAGAGGTGGTGGATTTGAACTGTTTAATGGATGCATCTTTATACCATTTCAAAACAATATTTTCAGTCATCTTGCAGATTCAATAAAAAAAATAAAAAAAACTTACTTCCAGAGGTCCACCACTGTCTCGTTTTTGAAGATCCCTTTATACATGCCAATTTCTCTGTAAGAAGATATATCATATATTCAAGATGTTTGAACAAAAATATATTCAGGAACAGACACATTCAACTTTATACACATCAGCATGCCCTTCATTAATTCATTTGCATGTTGATAAAATAATAATTGAAAAGTTATACAATAACATTAATTAATTGGATGAATGGTCTTCATACCGCGGAGTCCCACTGTTGCTGGGGAATGTGTTTATCAGTTGAACCAGACTGTCTCCGCAAAGGAGACCCAGTCTGTGAAAAATGCTGTTAAACACACAGAAGGAAAAAAAAATATGTTGATGATCGGGATGATTTGAAATTGCTCAGAAGAAAAAAAACATAGGAGTTCCTTAAATCGAAGTAGATTGTGTTCAGCTTTATTATTCATTATATAAATATTTGTTTTAATTTCAGTATATGTGACCCTGGACCACAAAACCAGTCTTAAGTCGCTGGGTATATTTGTAGCAATAGCCAAAAATACATTGTATGGGTCAAAATTATTGATTTTTCTTTTATGCCAAAAATCATTAGGATATTAAGTCAAGATCATGTTCCATGAAGATATTTTGTAAATTTCCAAATATTGCCAAATATTGTCCTGTCCTAACAAAGCTTATTTATTCAGCTTTCAGACGATGTACACATCTCAATTTCGGAAAAAAAAAAAAAAAATGTGTGTTTTTTGTGGTCCAGGGTCACATATGCTTATAAAGTGCAACCAGTCTTTTGTATCCAGTGGATGAAGTACTCACTGCAGTGCCACAATGAACTGATCGTGTCCTTCAGCTCTTTGCTCAGCACTGATCCTCTCGATCATCTCCTTCACAGAAATCCACAAGTCTTGCATATCAGTGCTGTACACCACAGAAAACAATGATAGTGAATTTACACTCCTCATTCCAAGGAAAGTCACAGAAATATGGCCCAATGTACAGTGTTAACTTTTTTCCACATGTGTTTTAACTGTATTTTGAATTAATCATTGCATTGTGTTTTCTTTTTAGGGTTAAAGGAAATGTCCATAAACATGCTGGTAATTTTCTGCTAGAACATTATCTGTTTTTCAAATTTTTTTTTGTTTTACAGTGCATGGTCTATGTTAACTTTACATCATACGTCTCTGGTTTTACCCCGTTTTATTGATCTTATTTTTTTCCACAACCACTTCTGCTGCCCCTTTTAAATTGTCCAAGTATTTCAAAAATGCTTCGGCTCCAAATGTGAAGAGTTTGTCTGCCATTTCATAATCTTCATCTTTTAGGCCGACGCTGTCCACACCTGCATATAAAAAACGAAATCAGCTAAAATATAAGTGACAGTGTAATATTAAATTATTTGATCAAGTCCAACCACAGTACATATTTTAATATCACATTTATATTTACATAACCATTGTAAGATTAGTATTATCACTTGTTCATGAGAGCTGCCATGTCTATTAAATATCACATCACAATGAATTTAGTTTACTTGTATACATAAGAAAACAAGCATTATCTTACCTTTAAAGAGCAGAACAGCTAAGATTAAGACAGCTAGTGACTGATTCATATTGTTGTTTCTTCCTCAGAACAAAAAACTAAATAACAGAAAGAGATCACAACATATTCACTGTGGACTTAAACATCAGGAGTAAAAAGCTGGACTCAACTTTATCTCTATTGATATTTGTGTGCACACGCCTACTGAACTTACCTTGCAGTCTGTCTGCTCTTACCTCTCATGGGAAGTGTTTCAAAGTAAACTCTGAAGGTCACACTAGTAGTGCAGACCGTACATATTTAATTGCTTCTTTTAAATTGTAAGTTTATCAACATCAGGTTTGGGTTAAGTTTTTGGTCAATATGTTAATATGTTAAAATAAGACAATATTTTCCTTAAAACACAAAAGCAAAAGAAAGGTTACCACATAAAACTTTAAGGTACTGTAACTCTAGTTAGTTCACATGAACAGTTCAGAGTAGTGCATGCATGTACATGCCAAACTGGAAAAAAAAGTTTAATGCTCTTTGAAAATAATGTAGATCAGTGTGAAAGTCCAAGGTGTGTTTTTGTCTAGGTCAATATTTCTTCAGTCAACATCAGTTTTTAGGGTCAGTAACTCACTAGAACATAAAAAATGTTGAAAATCAGGAGCTGCACAGAGTAAAATTTTAGTCTTAAGTATGTCAAAATTCTTGGAATGGTGTAATTTTCCTACACTTAAGAATAAGTGTGATTAATAAAGGTAAAAGTGCTACAACTAGGTCTCAGCTCCTAAATGATTTAAAGGGATAGCTCACCCAAAAATGAATATTCTGTCATTAATTACTCACCTTCATGTCGTTCCAAACCTGTAAGACCTTCGTTCATCTTCTGAACACAAATTAAGATATTTTTGATGAAATCCGATAGCTTTCTGACCCTCCATAGACAGCAATGCAACTGAAATGTTCAAGGCCCAGAAAGGTAGTAAGAACATTGTTAAAATAGTCCATGTGACAACAATGGTTCAACCGTAACTTTATGAAGCTACGAGAATACTTTTTGTGCAAAAAGAAAACAAAAATAATGACTTTATTCAACAATTTCTTCTCTTCCGTGTCAGTCTTTGACATGCATTCACGACAGTACTACGATGGACTGTTTTCATGATGTCCTTACTACCGTTCTGGGCTTTGAACCTGTCAGTTGTGTTGCTTTCTATGCAGGTTCAGAAAGCTCTCAGATTTCATCAAATATTTCTTAATTTGTCTTACGAAAATAAACAAAGGTCAGGTTTGGAATGAGATGAGATGAGGGTGAGTAATTAATGACGGACTTTTCATTTTTGGGTGATCTATCTCTTTAAGAGTGCTGGAGATGTCTCTCAACCTAACCTAGGAGTAGTATGATAACCGTGATATGTTGAAACCACACTCTCCAATATGGAAAAAAAGTGCTTTAGACTTGCATAATTGTGTAATTTGGATAAACATGATTCGTAGTTGACTAAACAAGAGAAATCCATTATATATTAATTTACTGCATTTAATAAACTCATTATTAAGAATATAGTGTACAACATCATTATTAGTCAGGTGTGTAATAATCACAGGGTTACAACTAAATGTTAAAATGTTACAGTAGTCAGGTAAGGGTTAATGTACATCCAGCTGGTTGTTATTGCTGCAGAAATTATTATAGCGTTGCTAGTGAAACACTTTTTAGAAATTCTTAGTTGTTCATGTGAGTTGCCATTTGAATTTAGCAAAAAACAACAACAAAAAACTACTTTCTAAGTTCTAAGTGCTTAGAATAATTCTACAAATCATTCTGGTTCTTAAAAATTCGACATAGCTAAAAATAAGTGTTTTAGGCAGTGCATTCAAGTGTTTATTCTCTTTTTATAATGAGAAAATGCATTTATATAATGCACATTTTCTGCATAAGGCATGGAGTACACTTATATTTAGACATTGTGTGGTTTTCAATACGTACATTGTTCGGACAATATTCGGCAAGAATATTAAAACTGGAAATTAAAATGGGCCTTCTCATTACATTCATCAAATGAGATCAAAAGACTTTGCTGTTGCTTGTATTTTCTTTATTAAAAGCTTCTATTTAGATAAGCCCTACTTTACTAAGAATGTCAAAACTTTAGACTATGCCTATGACCCCAGGACTCCTAGGTTTTTTTTTTGTTTTTTTTCCACCAATAATAAAAAAAATTCTATGACCTTTTACATGTTAATAGAATATACCTGATTAAGCCTTATTATAGTTAAGATCCTTTTGCCTAGATTTTGGTTTTATTCAAAATATTTTTTAACATAAAATGATGCCAGATAAAATCAGTTATTTTGAAGTAGCTAGTGGAGTAAAAATAGAAATATATATATATATATATATATATATATACATATATATGATGCCAGTATAAAATCTAGTTGTAGCAATCTATCATTTAATTATTTCTTACTCACACAGTGCACAGACACATTTTTATTTATTTGCATCTATTAATTGGATCTATTTTCAAGTGTTAACACATGAAAGTAGATCCAGATGTTATTGATATTAAGCTTTTTAAATTAATGTGTTAAGATGCTGGAGAATAAAAATGTGTAAAACAGATCAAAAGAAATGCAACAAATCATGTTTTTGATGAAAACAAAGCATTACAGTGGAACAAATAGAGTGGAATTTGTTTTACTCAACGTTCACCAATGCAATTATCCTAGTATTCTTTCAGAGGCAGGTATGCAATAACAGTTAATACATTGCTGGTATAATCCTGTTTATTGCCAGCAGTTGCAATCTTGACATTGCTTTCAAATATTAAAGAGTTTAGTCCAACAGCAGGTCCCAGACATCATTAAACATGAGGTTTGTGCGATGCATCGACTTCTTGAAGGCTCTGAGGAACAATTAATATTGTGAATCTTATTGATTGCACTTGATAATATGAACTTGCAATATAAACTGATATTCATTATCAATCTTTTATTTACACAAAAAGTGACATTCATTACGGTTTCTGTTCAAATGCAGATATGGTAAGAAAATTATAATCTTACAAAATAGTTGGATCGATCCTTCCATCAAAGTCATCAACAAGATCAGTATACTGCTTCAGTTTCTCCAGGATCCGGTGAATGGCTTGAACAAAGTTTCTTTATAATTGAAAAACAAAAAGAGAGCCAGTCAAATATGAACTTTAAAAAGATGCTGAATTCATTAAACCAAAAACGGCAATTAAGAACAAACATGTCTTTATATATTTACATTTTCAGATTTAGAGCCATATATTAACAAATAAATCCTTGTCCTTAAAACAAAACTCGACCTTTCCTTACTTTGGTGCTTCTTCAAGCTGCTTTCGAGTAAATGCATTACTTTTTAATAACTCATTAATGATGATGTTCCTTGTATCATTCCATTTTCTGGAAAAAAATAACATTTCCGATTGATTGTTTGATTGCTCTCCTCATAAATTAACAAAAATCATACACAAGAATATGCTAAATTTCAGCCAACAAAGTGTCTCAGAACCAGGCAGTTCAGCAGATTTCCAACCTCACCACACTGGATAGTGGATATATAAAAAATACAAAAGGACATGTCTTACCTCTGTGTTTGCTGAAATTCAGTCTCATCAAAATAGCCGAAATTTGCAAATCTGAGAAAAGTGCTCCACAAATCTAGGAACACTGTCCTAATTACTCTATAGCAAACAAACAATGATTTTTAAAGAGGAATAGATTATATATGCATTATATCAAGAGAGCAAAGCACTAGCCTTCTAATCTGGACAAATATATCAACAACATACAAACGTATTCTGTTTTACTGGTTCAAAATGATTTTCATGAAGGCATTTTATTACATTGTCTTACCGCAAAGGCAGTAATAGTTGGTTATCTTTGCTATTGGTTTTCTCCTCTTCAATGTCTAGAGTAAGTGCATACAAAATGCCACGAATGCAACTCTCCAAAAAAGTTTGTCTGCAAGACAGAAAAAAAAAAGTCTTAATATATTCATATTTACATAGTAAACAAATACGAGCCTCACACAGATGTTTTATGTTTCTTACCTGTTAGAGGATATATCATTCCCTTCAAGAATAAGGGTTATGTGGTTAACTTTGTGAAGAAACCTGTTGACCTCAGTAATCTCAAATCCAACTGCAGACAGCTTTTCATAAACAGGAAGAGAGTAAACAACCGTGCTTTTGACAACAGCCCTGTGAAACATGCAAAAGAAAATGGACAGATCTTTTTTGTTTTAAACCTTTAAATCAGGGGTGCCCAAACTCGGTCCTGGAGGGCCGGTGTCCTGCAGAGTTTAGCTCCAACTTGCCTCAACACACCTGCTGGTAAGTTTCTAGTATGCCTATAAGAGCTTGATTAGCTGCTTCAGGTGTGTTTAATGGGGGCTGGAGCTAAACTCTTCAGGACACCGGCCCTCCAGGACCGAGTTTGGACACCCCTGCTTTAAATCATCAACATTGCTTTAGGTATTAAGTTCTGTTGTTAATGTTTATTAAATATATCTCCATGTTTTTGTAATTCATCTGAAACAAGCTTTTGAAACACGAACTGCATGAACATGAAATGTCAGATATGTGGTTACATATTTGTTTACCATAAATAATGTGACGAAACAAAGTTTCAAATGAGATTTACCAGTTGGACTGATTGAATCTGTCCAAACCAAGAGCTGCATTTCCACGATTATAATATTCCTGGGCCGCGGTCTCAAAGAATTTACCAAAATGAAGTTCAGTCCAACTAGAAAAGAACAATGAAATGATAAATGATAGATGAATGATACAATGCAGAGTGAAACCTCCAAAATAACATTTAACAACATTCAACTCAACAGTTATTCACACTCTAAAAAATGCTGGGTTGTTTCAACCCAACTTTGGGTCAAATATGGATTAACCCAGCCATTGGGTTACATTTTAAATTTTTAACCCAAAAGTTGGGTTAGTCCATATTTGACCCAAAGTTGGGTTGAAACAACCCAGCATTTTTTTTAGAGTGCAGATTAAGGATCTAACATACTAACAGTGGATCATAATGGTTCAAGTGATTCTAATGATAATTAGGAAATCACTTTAGTAGCCTGAAAAAAAAAAGAGAATAGCCCTGGGATTAATTATGTATTGATTTAAATGACATTTGTAATATTCCACATTCTGAGTATCTTTCTCTCTTACTTCAAAAAACTGCGCCTTGTATCCGGGTCTAAAAGCACATGATACTTTACACTTGGGTTTTTCAACTCGGTTAGCTCGGCCCATTGCCTGTAACAGACAAAACTCAAGAATTTTCTTCAATGCTCATTTTACTTCATATTCTTATATATTTGTGCATCGCTGTACTCTTACTTCATTGAATCCAAGTATTCTGCATGGAACGATGGGCTTTCAGTGTGTTCCAAAACTTTATCCCAGTAAAAAACAATCAGTCCAGATGCAGTTCTAGGAAACAGAAAAAGAAAAAAAGTTATTTAGAGATGTCTTTTAAACAGATTAAATACAATGTTGAAGTTAACAAAGGTTTTTACCTTAATGATATAAGCAAATCATTCTTTTCTTTTTGTCTTTCCAAAACTGAAATTTCAAAGGCTTTCTGTCTGATCTGATCCATAACCATCTGCCCGCTTTGGACAAGACAACGCGTGGTTAAAACGACATGCAATGCAATTTAGCCAAATACTTTAAATGTGGAGGACAATAAATCAGTTTAGTTGCTTTGAGCTCTAACAGCATGGTTTTAAACAGCTCTTACTCCTCATGAAGTTGGTTGAAATCTGTTTTTCCAATCTCCATAACAGTATCCACCCCAGCTTCAAGCATGTTCACCAGCTGGGACTTCACCACCCTGTTTGATGCCAGAAATACACAGTCACCTTTTAATACACTGCACTTTAACAAGTACAATTACTTTGTAAAATGTATATACACTCTTAAAAATAAAGGTGCTTCACGATGCCATAGAAGAACCTTTTTGTCTAAATGGTTCCATAAAGAACCTTTAACATCTGAGGAACCTTTCTGTTTCACAAAAGGTTCTTTGTGGCGAAAGAAGGTTCTTCAGATTATAAAAAGGTAAGAAAGAGATGGTTCTTTAAAGAACCTTTGACTGAATGGTTCTTTGTGGAACCAAAAATGGTTCTTCTATGGCATCGCTTGAAGAACCTTTTGAAGCACCTTTATTTTTAAGAGTGTAGATACATGCTAATCATTACAAAATCTGATCATACAGATAAATTAAATACAGCATTAAACAAATCCAAATGAAGGTAGAGTGAGGTCATACGCCTTAGCCAGAAGGTGACTGAAGAACTGCATGGGTTTACTGTAGACTGGAGGAGCTCCTGGAAGATAGTATAACTCCACTTCTCTAATAAACAAGTCACATGAATAAATCAAGTTATGAGGGGCGCATACTAGCATGGATGGTGGATTTGTAAGGCCATTATGTTCAATGCACAAACACATCTTTGACCAGAATTTTGGCAAAGCAACACTAGAGGTGTCTACTCTCAGTGAACACATGCTTACTTCCAGATTTCTGCCATTGTCTGGTTTTTTAAGGTCTCACGGTAAATCTTCATATACCTGTAGAAGAAAAGCACATTCATGGGTAATACATTACTCATAGGTTTCAGAGAACTGGTCAGAGGTAAACGAGATCCGTTAATGTCTTGACCAGGGGTCACCGAACTTGGTCCTGAAGGGCTGATGTCCTGCAGAGTTTAGCTCCAACCCTAATCAAACACACCTGAACAAGCTAATCAAGGTCTTGCTACTGTAGGTATACTTGAAACTTCCAGGCAGGTGTGTTGAGGCAAGTAGGAGCTAAACTCTGCAGGACACAGGCCCTCCAGTACCGAGTCTGGTGACCCCGGGTCTAGACTGCCTTGTGTGAAGATAGTAAAGCTCTTACGGAAAGAAAAACTTGTCAAAGACTTGCTGGATCATTGCCCCAAATGTACCACCAGCCATTAACGTAAATAATCTCCTGTGAATCAAAGAACAGAAGCTATAAATACATATTTTTAAATCACCAAAAAGAAAAAGTCTCAATTTATTTATAAAGCACAATTAAAAACAACTACAGTTGACCAATGTGCTGTACAATGTTGTAAAAGACTTATAAAAACATGTATACAAACCAAGCAAACATCAGACAACAAACAACATCACAAGTCATAGGCTATAGTGAAGAGATACGGTTTTAACTTTGATTTAAAGGAGACATATTATGCCCCTTTTTACAATATGTAATATAAGTCTCTGGTGTCCCCAGAATGTGTCTGTGAAGTTTCAGCTCAAAATACTCCACAGATCATTTATTATAACATTTTGAAAACTGCCTATTTTGAGTGGAAGCAGAAACACGCCGTTTTTCGTGTCTGTCTCTTTAAATGCAAATGAGCTGCTGCTCCCCGCCCCCTTTTCCAGAATAGAGCTGCAGCCATTACAGCTCGGACCTGCTAAATACATCTGTTTTGGTCCTGATTATCATGTTTATCACGCTGAAATCATGCGTTTTGAACCATATGAGTTTAAACTTCTGATATACGGTTTTCTGAGAGCACACATCCGAAGCACACGGACAGAAAGCGGCTGTCACAGCATGTGAGTACTAAACTAAGTTCTCATTCACACACAAGTTTACGTTAAAAACACACGAGTTACAAAAAACAGTCGGTTATGTCTGTGAAGGTAAACTGCTGGGAAATAAATCGCATGTTT